TCGTTGTTTGGCGGGTCCAGGCTGGGGATTCGAACCCGCCACCTTAGGTGTACGTGGCTGGCGCCCTAGCCGGTTGAGCTATAGGCGCCGAGCCAGATGCAAAAATTCTTAACAAAATAGTAGCCAATAGATTACAGCTTATCATCAAAAAAATCATATATCATGATCAAGTAGGTTTCATCCCAGGGATGCAAGGCTGGTTTAATATACAAAAGTGTTATTCACCACATCAACAAAAGCAAAAACAAAGCCTATATAATCCTCTCAGGAGATGCAGAAAAAGCATTTGATAAAATCCAGCATCCTTTTCTAATTAGAACACTGAAAAGTATAGGCATATGTGGCACATTTCTTAAACTGATTGAAGTTATCTATGACAAACCCACAGCAATATTTTACTGAATGGAGTTAAACCGAAAGCTTTTTCACTTAGAACTGGAATCAGACAAGGTTCTCCTCTGTCACCATTACTATTCAACATAGTGCTGGAAGTTCTAGCCAATACAATAAGGCAAAACAAGAAAATAAAGGGCATCCAAATGGGAGCAGAGAAGGTGAAACTCTCCCTCTTTGCTGATGATATGATCTTATACTTTGGGGAGAACCCCAAAGACTCACCTGCAAGACTCCTGGAAATCATCAAAAAATATACTAATGTCTCAGGATATAAAATCAATAAAATCAATGTCCACAAGTCAGTTGCCTTTGTATACTCCAATAACAGCCAAGATGAGAGGCTAATTATGGACACAACTCCCTTCACCATAGCCCCAAAGAAAATGAAATACCTAGGAATATACCTAACAAAAGAGGTGAAGGACCTCTATAAAGAAAATTATGAAACCCTAAGAAAGGAAATAGCAGAGGACTTTAACAAAAGGAAGAACATACCATGCTCATGGCTGCGAAGAATCAACACTGTTAAAATGTCTATACTTCCCAGAGCAATCTTCGGAATAAACGCAAGAGTAACTGAAGTTTCTGGACTTCAGTCCCTTAACCAAATAAATGAAATTCCGATGATGATGATGACGACGAGGGCAGCTAACTTCTATTGACTCTCTGTACCGTGCTAAGCCCTTTATATCATTATCTCCTTCAGTTTTCCTTTAAGCAAGGTAGGTCAATAATTATTGTCTTTATTTAACGGTTAATAAAATTAGGCTCTGACAATAAATAAATAAATGCCCACGGTCTCACAAGTAAACTCCTCCTCAAGTATCAGCACCTTCCAGTTCCGGGCAGGTCTCCCTCCATCATGCCCAGCCCCCTGTAATCCCTTCCCCACAATCCAGGCGGTCGGGCGGGGGACACACCCCGCTGGACCCCGCGCTCCGGCTGCACCAGGCCCCCCACTCACGCTCAGCAGCGGGTTCCATGAGGGTTCCTCTTGGTCTTTGTCCTTCTGTGTCTTGCCAGAGCCCCGGGGGTGACGGACAACAGAAACTTTGGACCCCTTTAAGTGCATGGTGTCTGGGTTGCCACTGGGTTTTCTCTCAAGCACAGGTGCGGTGTACAGGGAGCGGACCGGCCAGCCGCGGTTCTCGGTGGTGTGGGCAGATAGACTTGTCTCCTGGGGCGGCTCCATCCCTCCATCCTCCAGGGCCTGTTAGCACCTAACCGACGCTCGGCCGCTACTGCGCAGGCGCCGCCCTCCCGCCGCCTCTCCCGCGCTTTCTCGCGCGCAGAGTCCAGGCCCGGCGGCTGCGGGAGAGTGTGTGGAGGTCTGGCGGCCGGCCTTCGGGACCTGCCAGTGTAGCGACCCTGGGGGTCTGCGGCAAGCACTTGCCAGGACATTTCGGTCTCCTTCGGAAGGAGGTCAGAGCACGCTGGTGGAAAGCAAGGCTCCTCAGCACGGTGATTTAAACCTTAGTTCATTGTCTTGTTTACCCTTTAATTTCTCATGATCCTTCTTCTCCCTGCACTATTTCTTTTTAGATCTGCCATATCAATCATCATTTCTGTACACGATCCCCTGAGTTCTAGATGTTGCATTTCCCACATTCTACTTGGACGTCTTTACCCAATTGCTCCACAGACACATAGCACAATATTTACTTACACAGTATTTATCTTCCCTCCTAAACCTCTAGCATATTCCAAACTCATCTGATGCAGTAATGTCGTATCCACAAAAAAAAAAAAAAAAAAAAAAAAACTTAAAAATTCAGATGTTTTTTAAATTTTACACTCAAATATATGAACCTAGTTTGGGACATTACACACATAGGTATTTATATAAAACCAACCCCCAGTAAAAATCCTGCACACTAACTTTCTAAGCTTCTCCAATAGACAATATTTCATATGGTTGTCATAATTCATTGCTGAAGCAATAAAGTATGTCCTGTCTGACCCTACTGAAAGAGGACTCCTAGACAAAAACCCCAAAACTGTAAACTTTAAAGTATTACTCCTTGATTAAAAAAAAAAAGGACTGAACTATTAAACATATAACAACTTGGATGAAACTCCAGGGAATTATGCTGAGTAGAAAAAAAGCCAATTCTAAACTATTACAAACCATTCATAATTCAATTTATGCAAAGGAAAAAAATTAATATAGAATACAGCTTAATGGTTGCCAGGGATTAAAGTTAAAGGCATTGGGAGAGCAGTCCAGGAAGATGGGTGTGGTCATGAAAGGGCGACATGGGGGATCACAACATGGTTTTTGGAACTGTTCAGTGTCTCTACTGTGGTGGTAGATACACACATTTACACAAGTGATAAAATTGTATATGACTTTAAACACACGAGAATAAGTAAAACTGGGGAGATCTCAATATGATGGATGGGTTCTATCAGCTCAATATCCTTGTGATATACTATGGTTTTGTAAAATTTTATCATTAGGAGACACTGGCAAATTATACAAAGGATCATTTTGTATTATTTCTTACAATTGCATGGATTCACACTTAACTCGGTGAAAATTTTCATTTAAAAAATGCCATGAAGTATTGAGAAACCAGAAAAGAGCTAAAAAACAAACAAAAAGTCATAGAGAAGAAAAGAAGGTAGAGAGATGGATTTAAATTAAGAGATAAGAGAGCTAACAATAGAATGAAATGTATAAACATTGACTAAATCTTGAGGAACAACTAGGGAAGTCTGAGAATAGACTGGATATTAGGTATTATAAAACTATTTCCCAGCTGTGTGCTTACATAAACAAATATCCTTATTTTTAGAAAATGCATGCTAAAAGTAAAGTGTTGTATTATTAGCAACTTAATTTCAAAAGGTTTCAAAAGAAAAAAAGAGGAATGTACAAGAGCACATGAGGCGAAATTTTAACAATTATTAAATCTAGATTGATGTAGATTGCAGTTGCTATTATACTTGCAACATTTTTGTTAATTTCCAAAGTGTGTGGTCTTTTTTTCATTCCCCATCTCCACCAGATGTCCCATCCATCCTATAAAGCTCACGTTATCCACACTCAACTTTATCCACAATTCTTTACTCAATTCTTCTAATCCTATGCTTAACTTTGTCTCTCCAACTAGATTATGAGCCTCTAGAAGACAGGATACTAAACTTATATTCATTTTTTTCATTTTTTTTCTCCCACAAACTTAGCAATTTGACCAAGATGAAATCATCTATCATAGTCTGAGCTTTATGTTTCGGGATAAATTACAACTGGTTTATTTAGACTAGAAGCTCCACATGGTGGCTACTCTGATGGCTATGTCACAATCACGGAGTGTGCCTTTTTTTAAAATGTGGTTTCCACCACCTCAAACTTCCTGAACCTGAATCTTTGAGAATTAGATGCTTTGTTTTCTTTGAGGGGAGTAGAGGAGGAAAAGATAGGTATTACTGAATATTTTGCAACAAGAAAAACTCCACCAGGGAGCTTGTCTACTGACACCTCAGAAACTCTACTATCACTACCACTTGAGGTGGGGAGAAAGGGAAGAAAAAAGAATGTAAACCAATCATGTGATTACAAGGCAAGAATCTCCAATGGGGTTCCAGGTGAACAAATTTGGCTCCTAGCCTAGCAATTTTAATGAAGCACTGAGAACATTATTATAAAGAAGTTGATTATCAAAGCCCTTACATGTTTTGATCTGATGCTTTGAGCTGTCCGTATTTAGTTGAGAAGTCTACTCAACCGGCTAGTGCTTGAAAATTTCAAGAGCTTTCTTGTTCAAAGCCTAATTGGCTAGGACTTTTTTCTAGAAAACTGATTTTTTGTACCTGGCCAAGGTTTCCAATCAGCAAGGTGTCCCTCTATTATCTGTCCAGTGTAGTGCCTCACCACCAGGTTGACAATAAAAGCATCTTAAGTCAGCATGATAGGCTGGACCAGCTTATGTGCTAACCTTGTTACTAGAAGCTGGAGAAAGTTGTATGAATTCTCATCCATGGCCCTAGCTACATGCCTCATTCCCCACCTCTTGGAGACATACATTAGCAGTGAACTTCTTCCAAGCTTCCCAATCATCTTGGTCAAAGGAATCTTTCCTTTGGTGTTTTCCTGATGAAGGATGTGTAGGCCCACCAGTTTCTCAGGACTATGTACTTCTTGGGTCATCAGGAGATTTGAAGTCCAGGTTGTACTTCTCAAATCTGAAAGAATTCAAAGGCAACTATGCCCATGTCGATTATAATATTGTCAATGTGGCCAGCTTTGCTACATTCTGTAGCAGCTCCAGTCTTCCTTATTCTTTAGGATGTAAGGAGCAAAACTCCCACCAACTCTGTATTATCATTCTATTGCTACCATAACAAATTACTACAAATTTAGCAACTTGATCAAAATACATTTGTTGTCTTATAGTTCTATATGTTAGAAGTCTGACATGGAAGGCACCAGGCCAACACGAAGGTGTCGAGGGAGCTGCTTTCCTTCTTGGAGGTTCGAAGCAAGGACCTTTTTCCTTGCTCATTTAGAATGTTGGCAAAATTCAGTTCCTTGCAGTTACATAACCAAGATCTTGCTGGCTGTCAACCAAGGGCCACACTCAGCTTCTAGAGGATGGTGAATAGCAGCCCCCTCTTCCACCTTCAAGGCCAGCAACACCACAGCTTTCTGATCTATTTCTCTGAGCACAGACATGAAAGGTTCTCTTCTCTGCTTTTAAGGACTCAAAAGATTACACTGGCCCACCCAGATAATACAGGATAAGCTCCTCATTTTAAGGTTCATAACCTTTGGCATATCTATAAAATCCTTTTGTCAAAAGTGATATATATTCACACATTCCAGGGACTAGGACTTGGGCTTCTGTGGAGGATATTATTCAGCCTATGACAATCCCCCACATTGGTAGCAGCTTTCTTATATTCTCCTTGATGATACTGCTCAGGTTTGTAAGCCTCAGTTCTCATGAGCATGGCTTCCCTGAAGTTTGTTGACAGGGAGGATCCCGAACTCATACACTGCCAGCTTCTTGCCAGAGTGAGAACCATCGCTGACCACAATGAAAGCTAGACCTGGAAAATGACTTCAGTATTCCCATCAAATTCACAATTCTCTGACAGCAGGTAGAACCCCTTTTCCTCAGCTCCAGCCTCACAACAGCAAAAGATTTTCCTGGAATGAAACTCCCACCAAATTTAGCCTTATTACCAGCACCATGCATCCCTACCAGTAATCTGTCAATCCTTTCTGTTCCATAACATTCAGTTGTTTGCTAATCAGAGCAGGGTTTGTTTTGTTTTGTTTTTTAGACAGAATCTTAAGCCGTCATCCTGAGTAGAGTGCCATGGTGTCACAGTTCACAGCAACCTCAAACTCTAGGGCTTAAGCGATTCTCTTGCCTCAGCCTCCCAAGTAGCTGGGACCACAGGTGCCTGTCACAACACCCAGCTATTTTTTTTTTCATTGCAGTTGTCATTGTTATTTTAGCTGGCCCTGGCAGGGTTTGGACCCACCAGCCTCAGTGTATGTGGCCAGCGCTGCCCTAATCAGAGCAGTTTTACTGATGTGCTCAACACAGCCTTTGAGACACTTTTTCCATAGCAAGTCTTATCATTGTCTTGAGGTTTAGGGTCTCACAGATACCAACTGAGACACCACTGTATATGGCTCTGAAGAGACCTTTTCCAGCACAGGACCCACCTCAAGGGACGGATTCCCTGGAAAGCTAACCATCTCTCTGACAAAGAGCTTGAAAATAGGGATGGTGAATTTCTACTAGTATTTCTTGTTTATCAAAAAAAGGAGACAGAGGAAAAGGTATTGCCAAGTGTGGGAGTCAGGTTTGTAGTGTAGTTTAGGCCAGGCATTTCTGGAGGGCTTGTTGACCACTGTCTAAGTTCCACAACCCCCCTGAGGCTAGCAATAGCCTGGTGGTCTACACAGGATGTCGGGCACCTGGCAGGCACAGAACTAGGACTCTGGGGGTCTTATTGGCCATAGTCCAAGATCAGGTTTGTAAGTGCCACAAGTGGCCCTATTATTAGCTGGTGGTTGAAAACAGAATGCCTAGCAACCAAAAATTACTACCGCCTGAGTCTTGCCCAAGCATAGATAGAAATCACTGAAGAGAGTTAGGCAAGTTTATCCCCAGTTTGTAAAGTTGTAATCACATGGTGTGCCTGCATGATTTTCCTTTCCTTTGTTTCCCTTCTTCTGATTGTTAATGATTACTTGAGATGCCTCAAGTTTATGCCTTGTGGTGTCAACATGATTTATGGTTTTTGATTGAATAAAGAGACCTATGGGAGAATGGCCTAGTGTTGCACTTGCTGGCTGCACTTGAGATGCTGCTAGCTTAGTGTATGACTCTCACAGGCTCCCATGGGTTATTCATTCAGAAAACTGAGTCTGAATTTTTCTCGCATCGACTACTCTCAGTGCAAATCCTAGCAAAGGGTGGGAGGACCCAGGCCCCCACAGGTCAGGTCAAGTTTGTTAGCCCAACAAGCTCATAGGCCTCTTCTTTACTCCCCAGAGCTCTGGGCCTGCTCAGCTTCTCTTCTGTTACATGTTTTTTAAAGCTCCCTATGAGATCCTGATGTGGGAACCACAGGTACAGATTTTAAAGACAAGTAACTTCTCAGGTTATAAAACTTTTCAAATAAAAGACACATTTCCTTTTTATTAGCCATGATATAAAGCATCTTTAATGCCAAATTACATTTATTTATTACGTGATACCCAATCACTGTTTTAGAAAAGACAAATTTCATATTTCAATTTATTCAGTAAGGAGACATAAAAAATAAATAATGTAGGCTTTTTTCACTTCTACTTTATTCTCTAAGTTTATGTTTAAATCTATTTTATAACACTAAAGTTATGACTTTTTCTGAATTAGTGCTTTTTAAGAAACTGATTATAAATACAACTAATATGAGAAAAGAATGAAATAAACACTTTTTTTCTTTACAATTAGACACTTTGAAGAGAAAGGAAATAAACACTTTCACCTGGTAGTTTCTAGCTTATTATCTCTTTTGTCATTGAGACGTTAATGCTATAGAAATTAATGTTTAGGTATAAACTGCAGATACAATTTTAACATTTCTCATAATCTTGAGAAATGTTTCAGTATTATATAATCAAAAAAATCTATTACAAATACACATATACACACCTTATAAAAATACATTTTAAAAAATGGGAAAAATAGTAGATCATTATTCCTTTGAAGGTTAGTTGGAATTATGACAAGGCTTTGATTCCTTTATCTTTATCAGGATATTCTTCCACATCAGAAGAGAACATTAACTCTGGAGAAGAAAATGAAAATGCACTTAAAATAGTTTCCTAATGCTTTAAAAGACTTTTACAGCTTATTAATAAACAATCTCTTGAGATTTTGATATAATCTACAGTAAAAAAGCCCTCAAGTACAAGTAAGAATTCTTGACAGTGAAATCTAATTTAAAAAGTGAATTAATTGGAGGGCATGTGTAGTCCCAGCTTACTCGGGAGCCTAAGGCAAGAGGATCACATGAGCCCAAGAGTTTGAGGTTGCTGTGAGCTATGACACCAAGGCACTCTACCCAGGGTGACTATGTGAGACCCTGTCTCCAAAATCAATTAATTAATTTAAAAATATTTTAAAAATCAAAAAATAAAACGTGGCTCAATAACAAATGTACAAGTTTTATACTTTAAATTGTGTAAGCTCAAAATTTATTATGAACCCCAGGAAAAATGAAACATATATAATGGAGAAAATATAAGAAAATATTACTAGGAAATTTAAGTTACTTAGAGCATCCAGGATTATTAAGCAGCTAAAAGGTCTAATTCTACAGTGACCAGATAATCTAAAATGTAGAAGACAGATACAGAGGAAAGACTTGGGACTAACAACAGATATATGCCAAGGTATTTGAAATGTGTTATCCCATTTAATCACCAAAACAATCCAATAAGCTAGTTATTGTCTTCTTCATTGTATATTTGCTTTTAATCCACATGTTATAAGACTTACATACCCCTAAAGGAGAACAGAATTCTGGGGATCATTGACTAAGTAACACACACTTTGTGATTTAGACTGAATACTGAACAACTGTGCTGAATGTAGCTTCAATCCCAACCATCTGTAGAATATTAGTACTTGACATTTCTCCATTTAAACTCTTAATTAGCATAGATATTTATTAAAATACCAATGAATACAAAAAAAGAAAACCTTAAGAATCTAGTAAAATAAGGCCCTCTTATATAAGTACTGGATGAAAAATTCTTTGAATAACCAAAAACTACACAAAAGGAATAAAGCCACACTATATTCAGTGGAGCAACAAAAGAATTATAGGGCAAAAAGATATACTCATGAATAGAAATACACAGGAACATAATCATACATAAAATATTCTTTGGTGTGGTTTTATAAATAAAGATTGTCCAAAATAAATAAATAAAGATTGTCAGCTTGGGGCCTGTGGCTCAAGTGGCTAAGGCGCCAGCCACATACACCTAAGGTGGTGGGTTCGAATCAAGCCTGGGCCCGCCAAAGAACAATGACGGCTGCAACCAAAAAATAGCCAGGTGTTGTAGTGGGCGCCTGTAGGCCCAGCTACTTTGGGAGGCAGAGGCAGGAGACTCGCTTAAGCCCAGGAGTTGCAGGTTGCTGTGAGCTGTGATGCCATAGCACTCTACTGAGGGGGACAGCTTGAGGCTCTGTCTCAAAAAAAAAAAGATTGTCCATTCTAAGACTTCTGAGACACATTATTATTCTGAGACAGGTTATAATTAGTTGAGCAAATCAAAAATATTATAATAACCAAATTTTAGAAAATATCTATAAAAGATATTCAAAAATCCTTGTGTGTATAGTTAAAAAAAAATTCAAGAAATAAAGTGTGGAATACCAGTCAAGGAAATACAATTTACAATAGCAAATACTAAGCCGTTCCTAAAACAGTGCTAATTAAGATTCTTCTTCATGTGCTCCAAAAGGGATCTGGGGACTAGAGACTAGTGAATCTCGCTGCACACTGAGCATGTTAAAAGTTACTAAATACTGTTAGACAATGGAGGGTTAAGAATCTGTGCCAAGCAGAAGAGATAAGAATAATTCACTTGAATATGTGTCTGAAAGACTACACAGATGAAGCATGATTGATTTCAATTTAAGAGATGCTTCCATCAGAAAAAGACTAAAAGAAGTAAAGCAAAGACTTTCTATAAATTACTTGAAGAGCTCCAAGAAATGTCTCCTGAACATGCACACGGCCAGAGTACTTCCAGACACCAGCTCTCCTAGGGGCTCCTCTTACTTCTTGTTAGAACTTTATTTCCTTTTTTTTTTTGGTTTTGCATTTTTGTTTTGTTGTTGAGAAAATGTTTCACTCTGTCACCTGGGCTAGAGTGTAGTGGCATTGTCATAGCTCACAGCAACCTTAAGCTCCTGAGCTCAGGTGATCCTCCTACCTCAGCCTCTAATACAGTGGTTCTCAACCTGTGGGTCGTGACCCACAGGAACTGTATTAAAGGGCCACAGCATTAGGAAGGTTGAGAACCATTGCTCTAATAGCTGGGACTACAGGAATGGTCCTCCGTGCCTAGCTAACTTTTCTATTTTTTGTAGAGGCAGGGTCTTGCTCTTGCTCAAGCTGGTCTCCACCCCCTGGGCCTCAAGCAACCCTCCCACTCTGGCCTCCCAAAGTGGTAGGATTAAAGGCATGAGTCACCACTCCTGGCCTTTCCATTCTTATATCATTATAATTTGTTATTGTTGTTTTGTTATTGTAACATTGTCTTTGTTATTGAAATAGCATAGCTATCCCCATTAAAAGATGATTTATAAAATCATTATAGAAGATTTTAGGATATTCACATATGATTTTTTCTTCAATACCTTCACTAAGATCCATGCCTGGCTTGTAAGACAAAAAAAGCCAAGATAATCCAACCAGAAGAGCTACGACCAGATTCACCACAATCCACGGCTGGAGAATTTGTTCCTCGATTCCTGCTGCCCTAAAGATGTAGAAATACTCATTAGAAATGTCTTCATTTTTGGTTACTATATCCAAGTGTACCTACTTATGAACTTAAAAAGAAATAGCACTCCTCTCCTAGAGAAATAATAAGTATGAGACAAAAAATAATTTCCCTATAAAATACACCATACAAGACATGGGAACAGGATTCAAAAGTTATTTGAACTCTAACCAAATCTGTTGTACACAATAATATAAATAGTTATCATTCCCAAAAAAATTTTCTACAAATTTCCCTTCTAATTACTATGACATTATTTATCAATGAAGTATCTTTCCTTTTCCTTTTTACCCGTTCCCCTAGCTGTCTATTCAGCTTCATGGCTGGCCACTGATCAGCAGATGTTCGCTCTCCCTATGTTCTTTCTAGCATTGCTTGGTTATCTGAGTCTATCCATGCTACATGCTCTCATCACTGGTGTGGATTATAGGCTCCCTGAATGAAGATAAAGATGCAGAGTTTCTCCAGTCCACTGTGTGATGACTTATTTTAAAGCCATAACTTGAAGAACTAAAACACATGTTTACAAAGACAACATTTCATTAAAAATACAGATAGATAGCTAGATAGATAAAACTATAATTATTTGTTAACTAAAGGAATAGGTATTTTCTTATCCTAGTTTTGGAGAAAAAATATGGTCTTTATTATTCTTTATAGATGAAAACACGAAAAAAGAGGAAAAATAAGAAAAATAACATTATTCCCATTGTTGCTATTATTGCCATTAACAATTACTAATGTCAGCGAGAATTCTTACCAGAGACTACCATTAACAGAAGAAGGTGTGTAAAGGTGGATTCTGTCACTTGTCATTTGCTGACTCAGAGATAGTATAAGAGCAGTAAAGTACACTGAGAAAAAGACAAATGAAATTACTAGTAATTTTTAACAATCTGGTTAATTTTGAATTTAGAGATTATTTTAAGGTCAAAAATAATCTGTACTTTGGTGAATAATGATATAAAAGAAATTCATTTTACCAATTTCAACAGGCTAAATATCCTTATATCATTTTTTTGAGAACACAGGTGCAGAGGGAATCTTCTGAGATGCTCACTATTTCATCATTAGAACTGACAAGAACTCATAAGATCTTTTAAAAAATTAATTGACCTGTGCAAAGTCCTAAAACTAGTTTTACTAACATTCTCATAACTTAGAACAAAATTATTAAATTGCCAAAATTATCAGAAAGATATGAAAGTGTTAGTTACTAAAAGGGCATACCAGCTGAATGTGTTTAAGGTTAAGTAAAAAATATAAAAGCTGAAAATGAAGAAATATAAGGCAACAAATAAAACTTAAAAGTTATTTAATGAACTTCTAATGAAAAATAATTCTATTAAAATTATACCTATAATATATTAATTACAAATTCACTGAACATCTATAGGCAATGTTTATAAGAAGCAATAATATAAAACTTTTTTAAAAAATAAAACATTATATTTTTCCTGGTTCAAAATTATAACATAACTCAAGTATTACACAGTTATCATATTAAACTATTTACTCACAGAAAGATGCTAAAGCTGTTGGATCCAATGCCAAAAAATTTCGAATTGCTACTGATGTTTTAGCAAAGTCAATCCTAGAAAATACAAAAGTGTCTTGTTGCAGCATAATTGTAAACTTCGTAACAGAACTTTACTTCCCTGACTATAAATTTTCCGTCTCTATTCTAAAGCTACCTCTAATACTGCCTATTACTAAGATTTAAGTAGCTATAGTTTATACTCACCACACACACAAAATATTTTATCTACAAAAGCCACATAAAACATCTAACTAGAAGACTATTTTAGGCAACACTCCTATGGTATTTAGATAAATCTTGAAGAAACAAACATGATCTACAAAATATCATTAGCTTCTACCTCTTTCTATTGACTGTATCATTGGACTATAATTAAGTGGGTTTTAAAAAAATATGTTGAATTATATTCCCCAAAAGATATGTTGAACTCCTAACCCCTGACACTCATGAATGTGACCTTATTTGGGAACAAGATCTTTGCAGATATTATAAATCATTGGGATGAACCCTAATCCAGTATGATTACCGTCCATACAATAAGAGAAGAGGAGACAGGCACAGTGGATCGTGCCTGTAATCCCAGCCCCCTGGGAGGCCCAGGTGGGTGGATCACTTAAACTCAGGAGCTGGAGATCAGCCTGAGGAAGAGCGAGATGCCATCTCTACTAAAAACAGAAAAACTAGTTGGGTATTGTGGGGAGCACCTGTAGTTCCAGCTACTTGGGAAGCTGAGGCAAGAGGATCGCTTGAGCCCAAGAGTCTGAGGTTGCTGTGAGCTATGATAGCACCGCACTCTACTGAGGTTGACAAAGTGAGACTCTGTCTCAAAAACAATAAAAAATAAATAAAGAAATAAATAAAATAAGAAGAGAAGAGATATAAGACACAGAGACACAGAGGGAAATGTGCCATGTGATGACAGCAGCAGCAGTTGGAGTGATGCATCTACACGCTAAGGACTGCCAAGGGCCGCCAGCAGTCACTGGAAGTAAGGGGAGGAGCATGGAATAGATTCTCCCTCAGAGGCCTCCAAAGGGAATCAACCTTGGCCACATCTTGATTTCAGGCTCCTAGGCTCCAGAACTGTGAGGAAATAAATTTCCGGTGTTTTATGTGAGCCAGTGTGTGGTTACTTTGTTATAGCAGCCCTAGAAAACTAACATGATGCCCTAAGTCTCACTTATACCTGCTTTAGTTGATTTTGAAGATATTTGGAACTTTCTGAGTTCACTGTATTTGAATAAATTCTGGACTTATGAGGTGATGCTTGCATGGGTTAAGACTTTTAGAGATTTTGTTCACAGTAGTTCCATTCCCTAACCTCCCAAATGAACAGAAACAGACTGGCTGAAAAACATTAAAATAATACTAATATCCTGAAATTCTATCTTGAAAATTGTCATAGTCAGTGACACATTTTGCTCAACATTTCCCCTAAAGAAAAGTTAGAGGAATCTGCAATTCCAACAATGTTACCTGTCAAAAGCTGAAATCGTACTCAGAGCCAAAAGCAAGTAGAGAAGACTCTGGAATGGGTACGCAAGGGTCTTGTATTGTTGCAGAAAGTTTGAGGGGTTAGATAGCTGGTCTCCTGCTAAAACATATATTACAACAATATTCCACACCGCGCAGCCAGCCAAGAATCCATGAGAAAAGAGACCAATCATCCTGAAGGGAAAAACGTTTAACTACTATAACTAAGTGATCAGCAAAAATATCTTTTAAGTCTCTTCACATATAAGAATAAAACTCAATATTTCATGAAAAGTAAAAAAAAAGCATTTTCTTTGTACTTACACTGATAGGCAGATCATTTAATTCCAAAAGAATGTTTAAAAAATATGTCTACCTAAATTTTAAGTTGTCAATTTTGTTAATAGTATTAAACAGCCAAGACTTCTTTTTTTTTTAATTATGGAACACATGTAACATCTGTTTTAAGAAAAGTCCAACAGAAGGAGCTACCTGAAGGCCCGGTGCACTGAAAGTGCCACGTCCCTTGTGGTCCAGCAAGGCTTCATGTCCATTGACACATCTATGTTTTCTGTGGTCTTTATCAACTCTGAACGATCAGCAGCCTGGAATCTCCCTGAGAACACATAATGTAATTATTAAGAATTAGTAAGAGAGAAACTTTTTTCGTTATTTCATACTCAAAAGTCCTTAGCCTAAGACTGAAATTTTGCTGTTTTTCTATCTAAAAGTTGTCCTTGACTCAGTCCCAGACTATTTCAGAAGGCTCTTTTCTTTGCTTAAACATACTATTTTTTCATCTGTAGGAAAAATAAGCAATGTCACTGCACTTTCTTCTCAACCCAAGATAAATGTTAAGTAACAATTTTCAAAATTAACATGACATACTCCACAAAATCCTAATTCAGAGACTCTAGCAGTATTAAGGTTTAAATGCCTCCACTATTAAGGTAAGTCAATACTTAAAAACAACCTTAGCTTTCTTAGAAAAAGATGCCAGGGTTGTGTAGCATGGCTTTCTATGATGACAGAAAAGAAATATTTTATAAATTTCTTTTTAGAAGATTCATGTGAAACTACCAGTTTGGGCGTCAGCACTGCAATATTGTATGAACAGGGGCTTTATCCTCCTGACTAATAGGCTTCTTCTTATGTAATCTAGTAACAGACAAATGGACCTTAGAAAGCAAGAAAGGTTCCACGTCAATTACCTTCACCAGACCTAGCTCTTGGGTATTTTATAGGATGAAGGCCAAGGCTTAATTTTCCCTAAGAAAAGACAACTTCTGGGCAGACAGCAGAACTGTTGGTACTGTTTACGGTCACTCTAGTAGGGAAGTTTCTATGTTAAGGAAGGCAGGAATAAAAATGAGGATTGAGTAGTATTGCTTAAAAATAAGACTGGAGTAATTAAATTGTATACTATGTAGCCATTAAATTAAATGTACTTACCCTGTATGTGCTTACACATTAAATTAAATGGCCACATGGTATACGAGTAAAAGCACTTGACTAGAAGCAATGAAACCTCAATTTAAGTCCCACTTCTAAACTAACCAACTGCAGGACTCTGAATTAGTCTCTCTAGCACAGGTTTCTCATTGGCCAAGAATTCCAGGATCCTTTAGATGGGCTCTTATAAAATT